GCATTGAATCAAGCAGACCGGCAAATGCTCTATTTAGAAGAAGTGTGTTTTACAGCTTGTCATGTATTTATTGAATGCTTTTTTATCAAGGCATTCTTTTCGTCTATGTATTCTTCTCGAATTCCATTAAGTATATATGTATATCCGCATCGATATAACTATATCATATAATGACCATAAAATTATCGTCATTATATCAACATTTCTTAAAAATCTCTAGAACTTGGCTTATATTATTTGTACTATATATGTATATTGGAAGAAGCGGACGAACAGTCTTTTACTATAGAAAATCTCTCAGTTTAGTTTGAAATCTTGACTTTGGTTAATATTATGTGCTTCATTATTCTCCTCACACATCTCCCCCTAAAGTTTCTATCTTTCGAAAATAAGCCTTTCGTATTCAAGCTTATCTTTCTTTTTTATTGAAATTTTCGTTTGTCCGCATTTTTTTCACATATTCATAGAAAATAATCATTCTGTGCCTTTAAAATAATATTATGCATAATTTAAAAGTATTGACGCTTGATGTCAGCCTGTCGCGAAAGCATTCAGAGAACTTATATGCCCACAAATGGAAGCACATTAGCATTATTTCCCAAGTCTTCTCATACATTATAATAGTACATACACACACACACACACACACACACAGAGACCCAAGCACACAAGCATAACAGCCCGCATACACGCACACGGAGCGCACTCATAAACAGAGGCTCGACAAAGAGTTGTCACATATATAGACACACACACACACACACACATAACCATTTACTAGTACAGTAGTGTGTGCGTGTGTTGGCCCTTTAGCGTCTTCAGCATTTAATGGCCTCATTAATTTTCTATGCTCGACCTTAAATTATTTTACTAGACACAGGAGCTGCTTACTGCCTGCGCTGCACGCTGCTCGGCGATTCCATTAACTTGACTGGCACTCAGGCAGCTCAGGCAGCTGGCCCCGCCCTCTCCCCTTGCCCACCCGCTGGAGCACTTGTCGCGTTGAGCGCACGCCAATGCCAATGCCAAATATCTCAGTGCTCGTCCGCATTAATTTACATAAACTTAATTGTTTTATTTAATCAATAAAAATAATTAAATGCCATGTGCGTAAGTAATTAAAACAAATCGCTTTTACTGCACGGCAAATTGAAATTGCATAAACATAAGCCGCCCCCTGTTGCATGCAACAAGCATAGGGCAGCGGCAGCCCATCTGCCTACTCCTATAACACAGTCTCTTTGTATGTGTCTATGTGTGTGTGTGTGTGTGTGTGTACCTTTGTAATTATAGCACATCAAACATTAATCAGCAGGCAAATGCGTATGCAAAATACAAAACACATATGCATAAAATCAGCGGCCAAATGATAATTTTGTTGCCAGCTCTGGGGATGCCAAATGGCAACAAAAACAACAACAAGAAGACGAATATTTGGGTTAGGGGGAGCCCACAAAATCCATAAACCAAATTACTTTGTAAGCTGCCCGACGCTGCCCAGCAAAATTTTCAATTTTTCAGCATAATTTATGGTGCACAAAGCGTAAAAACCAAAAACCCAGCAAATCAGTGCGAGAAATTATGCAAAAATATTTTTCGACCGTGGTCAGCCAAAATCTAGCTACGTATCTATACATCTCTATTTCGGATTGTGTGTGTGTGCGTGCTCGTGTGTGTGTGTGTGCGTGTGTAAACGCATTATATACATACATGCAAAGGGAGTCCTGGGGCGCAGTTACAATTTGCGAGAGCTAAAACGATTTAGAACCCCTCCAGCCCCACTCTCCTTACACACACACACACACTCACACACAAACATTTAGAGATACAAATTAAACTAATGCCACAGATAGATACATTTATATTGATCAGCAATTTAATGTAAATTATATTGTCTATTGCGTGGCTCTGCCCTATTCTGTTTGCATTTGTTATTGTGTCTCTCGGTGTGTGTGTGTGTGTGTGTCTGTTTGTGTGTGTTTGTGTGTGTGGGCACATTATGCAAATCAGTATCTGTAAAACTGTATCTGTTGCTTTTTATAGGCATTTGTTTTATTTTCATTTCATATGAACAGCAACAACAATAGCAACAGCAGCAGACAACAAATGACTTCAAAGGCAGCTAAATTTAAAAAGCCCCTAAAAGTATGCCACAAATAAACCTGCATCAATTGAATCGTAAACATACTTTGAAATCACAGTCATATAGCGAAAAAAAATGATATTGCCGCCTTTAAACTGCTCTACATGATTCGGTATTGTTAAAAAGCCATCAGATTTTTATATTTCCCTATATAACACGGAATTTTGTGCATACCGTAAATAAAAATAAACGAATAGTTAATTTTACACAATGCTCTTAAGGATTTTGAATATTCTGTTGAAAGTGTGCTCGTATTAAACATAATAGCTAAAAATATCCATCCAATTAGGTTATTTAAATTAATTGATTTTGCCAATAATTGCAGCAGTGAGTAGCTAGCTTTTATATTATATAGCTTGACAGTTTCTTAAAACTTTCAATTGCTCCTTTTCCAGACAATTTGAAGTCGCGACTTGCAAATATATTTTCTTAAATAACTGCTGAGAAAATACATTTAATTAATATATATATTTATTTTTAAAGAACAATAAATATACTTGAACATACCCGTTTTAGTCTTTAAGTAAACAAGGTTTCGGCACAATAACTTATTTGCCTTCAAATACATTTAATTCCAATATTGATTTTGCAGAACAATATTGCTAAAAAGTAAAAGATATATACAATTCGTGCGCATAAATTAATTCAATTTAATATAAGATCGTAATAGCGGCATGCGGGCTGCTGCTTTGGCTTTAATGTGGGCGAGCGGTGTTTGGCTGGCGCTGAATAGTATGCTACAGCAGCATTTGAATACGGCGAACAAACAAGTATACGCACCGTGCGCCCAGCAAACGGATGGCGAGATGGAGGGCGGCAGGCACTTGAAGATACCAGCCCCTCCTATGTGAGCTTGGCTCATTAAAAATTCAATACAAAATACATTGACAATGCGTTGTTGCTGCTGCTGCTGTCGCTGCTGCCGCTGCTGCTGTTGTTGTTGTTCTCTTTAGCCCATCCTGCCCGGCACGCCCCCACGACGATTACATTTCCATGCAAATCAAATTGGAAACCAGCACAAAAAGACATTGTTCAATGGGGGAAAGCCTTGACAGATAAGCCAAGATAAAGATACACAAAATTATAAAAACAATTTGCAGTCATTTGGATAGCGCAACCCGAACCCCAGTAACATAATAAAGATATACGCAATAGATATCTACGCAGTTGGCATGTTTTTCCAATATGGATAATTAGACGCGTGCCTCTGCCGCCCGGCGTCGCATTTCGAGTCGATGCGATTTGATACGATACGTTGCGATTTGTTTCCCCTGGTTACCCATTGAAAATGCGTATAACATGGCATATTGGTTGGCTGCCAATGTATGTTGCGTCTCCGACATCTCTACTTCTTGTCTTGCAATATATATTCTCGTGTTTCGCTGATCAAATGTAGCTCTCTTTCCGATAACTTTCTACACCTTTGTAATATCAATAAGTGTGTAAGCTATCGATAACACAAAGATCCTTGGTACAGGGTATATCCTTTGCCAGAGCACCTGCCTTTTTGTTGTCGATTTTTTATTTATTAAACTCAACGCCCGCCTTGTCAAAGCTATTAAATAATAACAACTGCGCGCATTCGCTATCTATAGCCCCTTTCCCAATCCCTCTCCCCTGACCCATCAACCCAACAGGTAGTCATGTTGGTGCGTGTCTGATTTGAGCCACGTGCATAAATTTATGACGTATCGATTGTTATTAATTTCAACGCCAGCCTAAACTATTTAGTCAATTTGTCAAAAAGCCCGCCACTTGTATTTCCACACTTAACCGCTCACACTTCCCCATCCCGACTCCTCTCCCGGGCCAACTGCTGGCGCATTAAGGGGTTAATAATTCATTTGTGCAATGTGCCGCGGCCCGTACAACTTTCACTTACGTTCATCAACTGTCACACCTCATCAACACCGGTGCGTGCGCCTCCGTGCCGCGCCGCACCTCCGCCGCATGCCACACAATCTCTGCCGCAATTTCTCTTTGGCAATATTGTCAATTATCTTCATATTTCACAGAAAAATTGTAGACAAATGTGCGCCAGTTCGTTTGTATATTTGTTGACATATATATACACAAATTGTTGGTTTGTGTGTGTTAATGGACACGTGTGTGTTGAAGCGGTTGACAGAGAGAGATGGAGAGAGTGGGGCAGATAGTCATGTTGTATTGCATGCACATATTTTGTGCTTTAATTGATATTAATGAGCCTGGTTGTGGCAGCAGATAGGTAAGATCTGGCCAAAATGAGAGTATATGTTTGTCAATCAAAAAACAGTTAACATCAACCAAAGAGATTTTCATTAGCTCTGAGGTAGCAACACAATGCAGTCTACATACATATCCTCAAAAATATAGTCAAATATTTCTTAATTAAATCGAAGCCTGGAGGTAGCCAATGTAAGTAACCTTGCATTTTCTTAAGTAGAACACAAAATGCTCTCGATAAGTTGTTATGTGCTTTTTTATCTGAAATTTTAAGTTTTAGTCCACTTAATGCCATTAAATGGGGAATGATTCAAGCAGAAGGTGCAAAATGCAAATAATTTCGAAAGAAAAGTGGGGTTGATTTAGAATTTTCTGAGCTGATACCCTTGATTGCAAATAACTTAACTTTAGTTCAACTTAATTTAAATCCAAATTCGTACTTGTTTTAATTCTAATCCAGTAAAATTCAAAATTTTTTTATTTATTTTTAATTGATATACATATTATTCATTTGTATGCTACCTTTGGTTCTAATGCTAAATAGCGGTTAACTTAAACGGATTTTTTTTTAATTATACAATGAACTTATAAAGTTTTCCACTAGCTTATTATAAACAGAATTTTTAATGCTTATATATGTTTTTCTTTTCAGATTACAGAGTTCGGCATCACATTGAATTTAAGAGACTGCATGTATTCAATAGGGCATATTCTCCAGGAGAGGAAATCAGCTTCCCAAAACATGGCAACTTTATTTATTAGTTCTACTCGTATCTGTCTAGTTTTAGTTAACATAAAACAATAAACAAACTACAAATATTGAAATGTAACGACTTGACCCAAGTCGAAAAATTACTAAAAACTATTATTTTTTCTGTAATCAACAAATTTTAATGTCAATCTATTCTCTGGAGCTCCGTGAGTTTAACGAGTGACCGAGATATCTCCATTTAAAGTTTTCGAAAATTTTCGAATTGCAATATCTCAGGAAAATACAGTCCGATTTCGGAATGATATACCTCTTTCTACTCGTACGGATCCCGACTATCGAATGCCATCAAAAAATCCACATTCTAAGAGATGACCCAAATCGGTCAAAAATGCAGTGGTTACATCACGTTTTTTGCTAAAAATGACTTTTTTCCGAAATCAAAAACTTTGATGACAATCTATTCTCTGGACCTCCGTGAGTTCAACGCACCCAATCTGCCCGAGATCGGGCTATATTTGACCGAGATATGGCCATTTAAAGTTTTCGAAAATTGTCGAATTGCAATGTCTCGGGAAAATACAGTCCGATGTTAAGCTGCAGCTTTGTAAAAGGAATACTGAAAGCAGAAGAGCATACATATTTCTGGACCGTTTCCGTGCGCATTTGGCAGGGATTCGGTCCTCTAGGTTCACCAGGACTATATCTATGGTATGGTAAAACCAAGGATATATCGGGCATCTAGGAGCCATAAAGGGGGGACGGCTGAAAGAAAAAGCATACATTCATCATTTTTTGATTCTTGCCGTGCGAATTTCGCACGGATTTGGAACTGTAGGTTCACTAAGACTCTATCAATGGTATGTTAAAGCCGAGGATATTATTGGTCACCTAGGAACCGGTTTTCATTTTCTGTTTGGCCGCGGACTTGTCCAATTTGGCTTAAAAATAGAAATTCGCCAAAAGTCAGACATTTGGCACAAACAAATTAATATTTTTTAAAAACTTTATATGGTTATTTCTGGAGATGTAAAGAACGGCCATATTTAGATATTTTAAATATAACATTTCTTGATGCTTTAAATTGCTATGTGTCTAGTAAATTAGGTCCTTTCCAGCAAAGGTTGGGAGTTAAAAATCCTAAAATCAATTTTTTCATTTTGTAACTCAAAATTTTGAGTGCAAAATGGAAATTATTCTTATCCTTCAGCTGAATACATGTAGGATACCATACAGTTACATTCTAATCTCTCCAAAATCGGGATTTATTTGGTCGAGATATGGATATTTTAAGTTTTGTCTGATCAATTTTATTTCGTTTATCTTATTTGCTTTATTTTTTATTAATTTTTTTTTCTTTTCTCTGCAGACTTCCGCGAGTCCTTAAAGGCGTATGTTTCCAGGATTGGACTTCAATTACTGACTTAGTCCCGGAGTCATTTTAGGTTTAAGCGTAAATTATATCTGCAAAAAAAAAAAACACCATTAATAACTATTATAAGTTAGACTTGTATATGTATATTTTTAAGACAAAATTAATAATAATAAGTAAAAAATTTATGGACAATTACAATTTTTAGAACATTTTGGTCTCTATCTGTTAGGTATGCGTGTTTGTAGACAATTTTTTTGATAGTATTTACATTTGAAGAACATAAATACTATAGCTTAGAGCTCAAACTATACACTAATATATAGTTTTAATCAAAGCTTGTGATTCAATCTAAACCTTTAAGAAGGTAATAGGGATGACAAAAGTACTCCCGATCCAATCTGACAGGGCACACACGGTAATATGCTAAGTCAAGGTAAATTAAACAAAACACACAATAAAAGTTTTTAAGGCCTTACATAACTAAGTTAACTTTGATAAGCTGATTGAATACGCACACGGAGCTCTATCAAAATATCAATCATCGTCAAACCAACAAAGTACTCTACATTGTTAACTAAGTTACTTTGCTTTCACCACACTTTAACGGGAATTATTGATATAAACTACAAGTATATATATAATTCCTGATTATGCATGCATATGTATATTACATTAGTTTAAAGCGTTGTTGCTGTCAAGATGATGAAATTTAATTGCGTATACGCCTAGTACGACTGTAAACAGTTGTCATAAAGGAGCTAAATTATTAGCCCTGGGATAATTTATCACAGTGAATTTTTCGCATAGTTTACATAGCTCTCAATCCAGCATGAAAGCATGTGTGCGAGAACATCATTGATTAACCTGCCATGGCATAGATCATAAGGCGTGCTGCTTGTCTTACAGCTCTAACCTTCAAAGCACTTTACTGGTGTGATATGCCGCTGCTTCATATTGGCCACATATCAGGGCCACACTCGCTCTCAATCCGCACCCCTCCCTCCCCAACATTCATCATTATTAAGGCCTTTAATTTATGGGACCCGCAGTCGTTGTCGTTTTTTATGGTGTGTGTTTTACATTGACTATAACATTGGGCCATATACTCGCCAGGGCTCGTATGTTGTAAGTATGGCAGCTGCTGTCGCTTTTGCTGTTGCCGAGTTCAAAGTACTGCCAGGTAACTCTCGGCTTCTGCCATGTGCACACAAAATCGATAAATCTTAAAAATTCAATAACAGCCGCAGCACGCGATTCAGCCCAGCCCCGTTCTGTCCCCCAAAAAATGCCACCCCTTACAACAGTGCCCAGTGTGTGGTGTGTGTGCGTATGGGCGGGGGCAGGGGGCAGGGACTGGGTGGCCATTATACTCATGTACATGTCAAAATCAAAGGCGAGGGTCAATGGCAAATTGGATTGCGTCGACTTGTTGTTGTTGTTGTTGTTTTTGTTGTAGTACTTGTTGTGCTTGTATTTTGTGAAAATTAAAGATGTATCAGCCGTAATCAGGCGCACGCTCGTTCTGTTTCTAGGCAGCGTTTGAATCAGTTTCGCCAGCGCCAGTTTGGAAAACTTTTAATTGGCGGCTTTAAGGCATTATATAGCCCGCCCAAGCAGCAAGAAAGGAAAATACCGCCCACACGCAGACACACCTACTCTTAAAATAAGCCTTCATCAATGCAAGTGGAGCGTCTCAACAAGCCGCTTCAACTATTTAGAACAGAAAAACTTTTGCTTTCATGTCGAGCCAACTTGAAAATTAAAGCGAATTTCATTATTGGCCTGCTTCTGCTTTAAAAGTTCGCCCAAGTGGTCGCAAGCAGAACCACAACAACACAGCAATAACAACAGTTACAACAACAACAACAAAAGCAACAACAAGAAATGTCAGGTAGGCAACAACAATTAATTATATACACCAAAATAAAGCCGCTGACCAGCTGGTAGTAGATCGGCGGCGCCAGCTCCTTCTGGCATGGCAACAGGCAGCAAATGACGAGGTCGGTGGCATTTTTTATGATTTGCCACAAGGCTGCGCGTATATACATATATCTGTGCGTGTGTGTGTGTGTTCGTGGACGACTCGCGTTTCGCATTATTTATTGCCCATTCATAGCCATACACATGCATACATACATGTACATCATTACACACACACACACACGCGCGCATAAAATGCGTAAATGCATACAATATTTGTTTATTCTGAAGCTCTCCGCCACGTAACCGGAGCCAACACATGGACACAGCCGGAAACCGTAGTCAAGTGCCATCGTCTGCATTCCGCCATTTTACAGCGGCTCAGACGACCGAGCAGAGCCATTAAAGTTTTCCATTTCGGCATTTTTTTTTCTTGCCATGACCCAAAAAAGGAACCAAACCGAAAAACGCCGAGTGCATTTACGGCGATAAGATACTTGGTAACTCAATTCAGTTAACTGATGCAAGTCGCGGCAAAAAATTATCTACAATTAATTAGACGACGGGTAAACGCTCTTTAAACGTAAAAGCATGTTGTCTAGTATTAGCTTAATCAATTACTTAATATATTTATTATTGAAGCCCAGTTATTAATATATTATATCATGGAACATGGTGTTTTATTTATAATTAAAGCTAAGAAGTTTCTACATGCATGTATCTTTAAAGAGATAAATCGTAACTACTTTAAGAAACAATTAAATAATATAAGTGAAAAAGTTTTTTTTAATCAAGAAGCGTTAGATAATAAGGTAAGTTACATTCTTTGCCGCGTTAGTTAATAACATTTACATTTTTAACTTCTTCAAAGAAATAATTAAATAATATAAGTGACTAAATGCTCTTACTTGTTTTTTAATTCGTACGGAACCCCACTATCGAATGGCAAGTAAACAAACTAACAATCGAGAGGTTGTATCAAAATTTTTCACAAAAAACGATTCGGTCATGATCCTAAACATTTTTGATGATTTTTCTAAATATCTCAGCCGAATGTCAGATTTTGGAATTTTATACCATTTTATACTCGTAACGATCAGAACTGGCATCAAAAAAATAAAGATCTAAATTTTGACCAAAATCCACAAAATGGCAAGGGGTTACATCACGTTTTTTCGCAAATTCGTGGTCGGTTCGAAAATCAAAACTTTTCTGATGATTTTGATTGAATATCTCGGGTAAATACTGACAGATTTTGAAATGTTATACCTTTTTGAATTCGTAGGGATCCCTACTATCAATTGGCATTTAAACATTTTAAAAATCGATGGGTTAAAAAAAGTGGTTGACCAAAAACCGATTCGTTTGTAAAGTCAACCTTTTTTGATGATTTTTTTGAATATCTCGGCCAAATAATGTTCGATTTGGGCATTTTGTACCATTTTGGACTCGTAAGGATCAGTACTATCGACTGGCATCAAAAAAATAAAAATCTAAATTTTGACCAAAATCAACAAAATGGCAAGGGGTTACATCACGTTTTTTCTCAAATTCGGGGTCGGTTTGAAAATCAAAACTTTTTTGATGATTTTGATTGAATATCTCGGGTAAATACTGACAGATTTTGAAATATTATACCTTTTTGAATTCGTAGGGATCCCTACTATCAATTGGCATTCAAACATTTTAAAAATCGATTGTTAAAAAAAATGGTTGACCAAAACCGATTCGTTTGAAAGTCAACCTTTTTTGATGATTTTTTGTAATATCTCGGCCAAATAATGTCCGATTTGGGAACTTTATACCAATTTGGACTCGTAAGGATCAGTACTATCGATTGGCATCAACAAAATAAAAA